GAGCCAACGGGGCAGGAGGGGAGCCATGAGGAAGGGGCAGGGGTGGGGGGCTGAGGATGCCCAGGCCCAGCTGGGGGGGGCGGGGAACAGGACAGGACAGTGAGGCCAGGGCTGTCACTCACGTTCTTGGCACGGAAGATGGGCTCCTGGGGCTGCTGCAGGTCCCAGACCTTGAGAGCGTTCTCCTTCCCACCCGTGCCCACGCACTGCGGCCGTGCCGGGTTCTGCCGCATACGGCACACGCCAGGCCCCACCTGCAGCTCTGCCTGGCAAGGTGGGGGAGGACAAGAACAGGAGAGATGTTACCCAGGGGGCCACCCTACATCCCCTCCAGCCTTGACAGGCACTGGAGAGGGGGTGTGATATGGTGTGTCCCCGCCCCCAGCTCACATCCCCTCCCACCGGCACCGGTCAGGCTCTGCCCCCTCCCTGCTAAAGCAGCCAGGAACCAGCCCTGGACGCTCAGGAACTGGGGGGGGGACGGGACAAGGCATCCCCTCGGTTTCCCATGGGACCCCTCCCCCAGCCCAGCCTGCTTCCTGCCAAAGACTCACAGCCTCAGAAGAGTCCTCACGCCAGACTTTGAGAAGCCCGGACTCCACACAGGTGATGAGGGAGCTGCCGGGGCCAGGAGACAGAGGCAGACATGGACACAGACAGACGTACACACAGACACAGAGACTCTCGCTAAGAGCAGCTGCAAATGCCAAGAGGCCCCAGGAGCAAGGGACAAAACCGGCAGGGGGAGAACGGTGCCCAGGGAACCCCAGGGAGGGTGGAAACGTCTAACCCCTTCCAAGGGCCCAGGCTGTCCCATGGGGAAGGGAGCAGACGGACCCCTGCCTGGGCTCTGGCACGGAGAGGAGACGGGTGCCTGGGACGCAAGGCACGGAGGAAGCAGCGCAGCAAACTACTGCTCCTCGGATCCAAGGAGGGGGGAGGACGGGGCTGGACAGACGCCAGGCCTTGGGGGATTAAACCACAGCCCCCCACCGGGCCAGCAGAAGGAAGGGGGAGACTCGGACACCGTACCCGTCCTGCACAGCCAGGCCACAGAAGGGCCCCTCCCCGCCAGGGCACAGCCGCGACTCCGTGAACTTCCCCTTCTCGGTGCTGAACAGCTTCACGGACCGGTCCAGACAGCCCACCAGGATCTGGGCCAGGGGAGGGGAGGGGGAAGCACCGTCACTCAAAGCTCTTGCAGACCCCCCCCCGGTCCTGCCCGGCCGGCTCCAGCCGCAGCCCCTCACCTCCGACTCGAAGGGGTCCCCCCAGCACATGGTGCAGACGCCCTCATCCCGCCGCAGCGCCCCCGACGCCGTGTAGTTTGTGGCCTGTTTCTTCTGCAGGTTCACGCCTGGGGGGGCAGGAGATGAAAAAGAAGGACGGGGGTTCAGATGTGGGGGGCACAGCTTGGGAGGAACCAGTCGGGGGGGGGAGCAAAAGGGGGGGGTCACAAGTAGAAGGAAAGGGGGGTGCCAGCCTAGGGGACAAGGAAGGGGGGGTCCCATAGAGAGATAAGACCCCCAAAACTCCAGTGCGTCCCCCCCTCCCCCCATAACTCCCCTGGGGGGGGCAAGAAGGCACCTTCCTGCCCTTGGGGGATAAGGGGAGGCCCCCTTAACACCTGGGGGGTCACGATCCCCGCACCCGCTACCTTTGAGGATCCCGGTCTCAGCGCCGACCCACACGTGATTCCACCGCGCGGGGGACGCCATGTTGCTCCCGGTCCTTGCCTCTCTCGGCTCCGGCCGGCCGCACTTCCGGTGAGCGCAGGGGGACCGGAACTGGGGCCGGAACCCCTCCCACGAGCGCACTTCCCGCGGCCGGGGGGGAATCCTGCCGGACCAGAGGCAAGAGGGGGGCGGGGTTTCCGGGATCAGTCCGCCCGGGCCGGCTTCCGCTCTGCGTGGGGGCGCTCTTGAAATCGCTCCGGGCTGCCACGTGGGCGTGACGCCGCGGTCCCGCCGCCTCTTACATGCAACAAGGGCGTCCCGCGA